TGATGTCCCTCTCCAAGGACCAGTCAGTCCCTCCTTACAGTATGCCCAAAGTATGTTAGATGGAGCCTCAGAATCCTTGCCTTCAGGGAGCCGCCCGGTTTAACCCTTTTCAGGATGAATCTGTTTGTTTTCCTAGGAGTCCATGGTACATTCAATATTCTTCTCCAGCACTTCAGCTCAAAGGCATCAATTCTCCTTCTCTCCTCCTTAGTCACTGTCCAACTCTCTGATGCATAAAAAGTCATAGCCAAGACCATGGCCTTTATCAGACACACCTTAGTCTCCAGAGAGAGACACCATTGCTCTTCAGTACTTTGGATAGGTCCGTAACAGCAGACTTTCCCATGGCAATACGTCTTTTAATTTCCTGGCTACTAGTGCCAAGAGTGTTGACTGTGGAGCCAAGCAAACTAAAACTTTGAACAGTCTCAATCTCTTCACCATCCATCCTGATGTTGCCAATTGGTCCAGTGATGAGAATCTTTGTGTTCTTGATATTGAGCCTCAATTCATATTGGAGGCTGCAGTCCTTGACCCTCTGCAGCAAGTGTTTCAGGTCCTTCTTAGTTTCGGCAAGCAGGGTTGTATCATCTGCATAATGCAAGATTGTTGATGAATTCTCCACCAGTACTGACACCACACTTCTCATAGAGCCCAGCCTCCTGGATAATCTGTTCTGCATACAGGTTGAAAAGGTATGGAGACAGGACACATCCCTTGAGTACACCCTTCCCAATTTTGAACCATGCAGTGTTTCCTTCTTCTGACGACTGCCTCTTGGTCCAAGTATAGGTTTCGCATTAGCACGATCAAATGTTCTGTTCTGGGGTCATGAATTGTGGAGAAGAGTAAAAAACTGCAGTAAAATGTAAGGAAGCCAAAATAAAGGAGGGGGAAAATAAATGTGAGATAAAGTTGGTGAACAGAAAAGGTCAAAGGACAACTTGAGAAGACAAAAACCAAGTATTGTAACAATATGTACAAAGAGATAGAGCTAGAAAACCAAAAGAGGAGAACCTGCTCGGCATTAGTCAAGCTGGAAGGCTACAGAACAAATCGAGTTATAGTAAGGAGGGACTTTATGGGCAAAATCTTGAATGATGCAGTAAACTTCAGAAGAAGATGAAAAGAATATAAAAAAAAGTAATGGTTCCAGAAAGACTTGTTTGATGTGAATCATTTCAGGAAATAACACAGCATGATGAACCAGTGAGGGAAGAATTTCAAACTGCTTTGAAGGCATCGGCAATAAATTGGGCCCCAGAATTGATGGAATGCTGCTTCAGGGTGCTTCAGCAAACAGATGCAGCTCTGGACCTGCTTTGTTGGCCTAAGCCAGGAAATTTTAAAGACAACTAACTGGCCAGCTGACTGGAAGAGATCAATATTTGTCCTCTTCCAAAATAAAGTGATCCAACAGATTGCAGAAATAATTGAACAGTATTATTATTATCACATATAAGTAAAATCTTGCTGAAGATTATTTTAAGAATTACCAGAACAGTTATGAAAAATTCAAGCTGAATTTAGAAGAGGTTTTGGATTGAAAGATGATAATACTGATGTCAGGTGGATCTTGGTTGAAAGGAGAGACTAGCAGAAAGACTTTTTACTTGTGTTTTTTTGACTGTGAAAGGTGTTTGACTGTGTGGATCCAATTATGGATATCATAGAGAAGAAAGGAATTCTAGAACACTTAATTTTGCTTTTTGGGAAACCTATACATTAACCAGGCATTGGTTGTCCAAACAGAGCAAAATCAGTTGGTTTTAAATTAATAAGGTTTGTGTCAGGGTTGTATATTTTCTCCAAAGCTATTCCGTCTGTTTGCTGAGCCGATAATTCAAGAAGCTGGACTATGCAAAGAAAAATGTTGCATCAAGTTTGGAGGAAGACTCGTCAACCACTTGGCGTTATTCAGATGACACAATCTTGCTTGCAGAAATTTAAGAAGACTTGAAGAACTTACTGCAGAAGATCAAAGACTAGATCATATTTCAGTATGGATTACATTTAACATCAAGAAAATAAAATTCTCACTAGTGGACCAATAATAGGCAGACATCTTGATAGATGGAGAAAAGATTGACGTTGTCAAGAATTCTATTTTATTTGGCTCTACAATCAACACATATCATAGCAGCAGTCAGCTAAGCTAAAGATATTT